CTGTCTCTTATACACATCTAGATGTGTATAAGAGACAATGGTTCAACCGCGCCATTACACGAAAACAAACAAGCACGGAACACGCATAAAAACAACGATAGCTCGTTGGCCGGCTGAAACGACAAGACTAGCTGCATCTTGAACAGAGGGGGGTAGGGTAAGCCACAACAACGACTACAGATGGTTCAGCCGTCACAACGCACAAAAAAACGATATCGACCTACATGTTAAAAAAAAAAGCCCAGATGGCCGACTGAAAAACAAATGGCTAGATAGGTTCATCTTCGGCGACTCAGTTCACCTGCTTCGCGGCGCGACGACTGTCTTAGTATTGAGGGCGTGGAGATTGACGCGGTTGCCGAGAGCAAGGAGCGCCTCGTTGAACAGCAGAGGGAGTATCGGTACTCCCAGACCCTCTGCGGCTGTCTCCGGCTTGATGTACCGAACGATCACCGCCATGGAGCGGTAAGCCGCAAACCTCACTCCGCCTTGAACGGGCGTCTGTACCGGAAGTGGGGGGGGGAGACGGGGCGTACTCTTACGTTTGGAATGCCTTAGCTGTTTGACCAAGCGTCCTCCAGAGGACGGAGCATTGTGCCCACAGGACCTCACCGATGGCCAAACTTTCCTTCCTACTGTTGCCAAAGGTGGCAAGTAGCGCGGGGGGGGGGGGGNTTCTCGCGGTTCTTTCAAAAAAAGGCGCGCATGGATTAGGGCAATTTCGTACCCCTCCCTGCCTACCGCTATCGCCAGAGCGCATCGGTGCCTCTGAACATACTTCAAGCGCGGCCGCGAGTCTGCAAAGAGACTCGGCATCGCCGCACACGTGCGCGCTTTCCGACTGAACGAACGCTTTACGACTCTGGATACAGCAGCCAGGAATACCCAAACAAACATGCACAGAAGAAGCCGCTTACAGCAAGCAAGCTAAACAGCTCTCGTGAGCCGCATACGACAATTGCCCTCCAACCTCCATGCACGCTGGTACACGCAACTGCCACCTCAAAAAAAGCGGTGTGGCCACGCTCCGGACACGCTAGCCCACGCAGCCACCGCACAAACCACCGCGCGACAAGACCTTCAGCCCCCTGACAAGCTACACAGCACACCCTACCAGCCATACAACGCGACCAGCCCTCCCATACACAACAACAACCACCGCGACCGGGAACGGACGGTCCCTACCTGGGCGACCGCCTGGCCCATGCACTGGCACACCGTCCCCTGCCGGTCCTCCATCGCCTTCTCCAGCCTCGAGCTGGCAACCAGGGCCTCCAGCAGGGTCACCGCGGAGGGCAACAGGAGGCCGGACACCCTCGCGGCTAGCTCGGGGGACAGGGTGCCGGCGGCGGTGTTGGTGTGGGTGGTTGACTCCTGGGCGGTCTTCGCAGAGGCTCTTCTGCGAGTCGGGCCGGGGTCGTCGCGCTTGACGCCCGCTCGCTCTTCCTCGAGCTTGGCCCAGGCCTGGCATGTGGGTGTGTGTCGAAACGAAAACACGAACGACATAAGAAAAAAAAAAAACACACACACACACACACACAAAATATCCTATAATAGACTCGTCATCTTTGGATGGAGACGGATAGTCTATATTCAGCAGAAAAAAAAACTGATTCATTGCTAAAATGGTTATGATGTATCCTCGACTTTGGTCTGCGGGAAGAGATGGATTCGCTGTTGCCGTGTCTGTCGGTAAGTCCGGAAGGTAGCTCAGCCTCTCCCATGACACCCCCTCATGGGGTCCCAGGTCATGACCAATGGAAGCAATTTCTGTTTTCAGCCGCGATGAGACTTGTGTCAATTCATTGGTCGGAAGTTTAGCGCGGTCGACGCTCAAACTGAAAGCACGCACATTGGCGTCATTTCATTGATGAGCTGGGTACAGCAATACCGCGGCGGATGCCAATCCAAGACACACGAACCCAACAAACAGGCAAGCGAGGAAGGTTGGAATTCACGGATTTACAACACACATGTACACAAACATAACATATTACTTTGTTCCAAACTCTTTCCACCTCGGCCGCCTCAGGCCGCTTGCCAGGAGGCCCCGCGGAATTAGACAGCGTTCTTCACGTCACACCGTCCCGCGCTTAGACCGGCGGTTTTTCATTGGCCAGTCGCTCGGCGCTGTTCATGGTCCCAAAACAAGCACACACGGAAAGAACCGCACAGCCGCACACACCTGTTCGCCCATTCTCAGGACCCTCTGCACGAGCGATATCGAGAGGGACACAAGGAACGGCGTTTGGAACGGCGCGGAATCGCTGCTGCCATCGATTTCCTTTCCCTTTCCCTTCTCCTGTTGTTGCTGCTGTTGTTGACCGTCTCCTTCCTAAATGGACCGGGTGACGAACAACAGCGAGTACGATAAAAATATATATAGATTCAAGTCCGCATCAACACCACCCAGCGGCGGGCGAGTCACCGGCAAGGCTTGCGTTCTGGGGTCGATACTACTTTGTATCGGGCGAAAGGAGAGACAACACGCACAACCTAATCATGGGTTGTTGCAAGCAACTCGGGCTACTAGTTGTGGGTGAAGGCACACCACATGATTGGCGAAAATAACGTACATACGTATTAGACAACAAGCCTGGCATGCAATATCTGCCGTCGAACACGGCGGAAGCAACACAGAGGGTGGTACTGGTTACAACCATAACGAGACCTTGAACATTTCCGAGACAAACCCACGACCTCAACCATGGCCTTTGACACGCCAAACTGGCTAGTGCCTGCAATCGAAGCAAGCCACACGGAACATGGAACATAAATAAACAGGCGACATACAAAGACCTCGTGGCACAAGCTAGCGTTAGCTTGAACGACACAGAGGAAGCTAGACAGAGCTCGTAAATGGTGCGAACCATGAAAAAAAAAAAACTTCAACATACCCGAGTCCAACAAACTCCACAAAGAAACATGCAATATTTGTTACGTATGTAAGATGTGGGACTTGTGTCTCCTGAACCAACACGCCTCCATGTCTGACTCTAACGTCCAACGCCAGTCGGAGAATCCCTCCGGCTCGACTCATCTATGTCTTCTCTGTCATGAGTGAGGAAGAACTTTCGTTAAAGATCTTGATGCCCGATGGCTGTCCGCCCTTTGCTCTCCCAGCTCACCCCCTTTCACTACCCCTCTCTCTAGCTCCACCAGACCTACCTGTCGTACCGTGCACGTGGTCCTACACGTGCCCCCACTGCCATTGCCATTGCTCTACGTGAGGACAACTTGCTCATCGCAAGCGTTAAAAGTTCTTAACTCTCCATCGACTATTGTAGCGCTCTAGACCCAAAATCAAGTTAGCGTCAGCGGCAGGACACCAACAGCTGGGCCCCACATCACTGGTCACTGTCACCAACTTCATCTTCGGAATAAGGGTGGCGGCCTCGGCGGCCGCGGTTTTCTCTTGCAAAACTGCTTCAGCGTGCGATATTTTCTTCATCCATGCGTTGGAAGCACTGTTCGTACGTGTGTCGAAGACGCTCGTCACAGCTTTGCTACATACACACCGGGCGCGGGTAGCCTTGTATCTTGGCCCTACTAACCCGCGAAATAGTCGGGCTGACTACACGGTGCTTGCTTGGCACCCTTGGTAGCTTTGGCCTGACGTGCCGAAGCTTTGCCTCCGAACGGTGCGCTGTTGCGCCGTTGCTGATTGGCATAGCTTGGTTCGTGACGGAACTGTTGCTGCTGGGTGACAGCGGAACGGTTGAGGACAATGGTACATGAGGCAGCGCTGACAGTGCCAGCAACACTTGTTTGTCAAAGCACCTCAACATCCCTCCTGCACTTCGATCTGCGGCGGCACCAGCAGCGGTTGCCGCCGCAGATCGGAGTGCAGGAAGGATTATTTGGTGCCTTCAACCAGCAGGATGTTGTTGGCACTTGGCAACGGCTCGTGCCGCCGCAGATCGAAGTGCAGGAGGGATGTTGAGGTGCTTTGACAAACAAGTGTTGCTGGCACTGTCAGCGCTGCCTCATGTACCATTGTCCTCAACCGTTCCGCTGTCACCCAGCAGCAACAGTTCCGTCACGAACCAAGCTATGCCAATCAGCAACGGCGCAACAGCACACCGTTCGGAGGCAAATCGGCACGTCAGGCCAAACCTACCAAGGGCTTTCAAGTTCAGCTCGTGCACGAGCTGAACGACGTTCAAGAGACACACAGTACAATCTTCGGGGCGGGAGACAATCGGTAGCCAACAACGGCCTCGCCGTGACATATTGGCAAGCACTTGGTTGCTTTTTGATAGCAGCCTGCAGGGCTTGCAACTAACCACACCTGTATGATCATCATATTTTGTCCCTATCCCGCCCTTGTACAGTCCTGTATGTACAATCGTTGTCACAAACCCGATCATGTCCCTCATTCACGAACTTCTTACTTCTTGGTGGGAGTAATAGCTTCATCACCACTCAAAACTGCGGGGGGTAATGCGGGATTTGTGTCTGCTGAACCAACACGCCTCCTTCCATGACTGTTTGTAACGTCCAGCGTCAGTCGCAGAATCCCTCCGGCTCGACTCATCCAAGACTTGTCTGTCATCAGTGGGGAGGCTCTTCCGTCAATGATCTTGGCGCCCGATGGCTGTCCGCCCTTGCCCCTCCCAGCTCACCTCCTTTCACTACCCCTCTCTCTAGCTCCACCAGACCTACTTGCCGTACTGTCCACGTGGTCCTACACGTGCCCCCACTGTCATTGTCGTTGCTCTACGTGAGGACAACATGCTCATAGCAAGAGTCAACTTGCTCGTAGCAAAGAGTAGAGAGTTCGCAACTCTCCATCGTCTGTAGCGCTCTAAACCCAAAACCACAATGTGATGTACAGTACTATATTTCAATAGCGTATTCTTGGTTGTTTTGTAGGACAACTTACTTCACTGCGTTCATTTTTTGTGTTTCGGGAGGACAAGCCAACATTCACGCACCTCAGGCTCCTGCGACTTTGGCGGCGAGGCCGTGACGAGCGTGGCCAGGAGCTTGCACAGTGCCGGGAAACGCCTCCCGATCGACAGGACGTGCGCCTCGACATCGCCCTTGTTGAACGTGTCCTGGATGGGGGGCAGCAGCGGGTGTTCTCCCATGATGGTCTCGACCTGGGCCGACGGTATCTGCGCAATGGCAAGCAGGGGGGGGGGGTTGTCTCCCTCGCGTGAGTCGACTGAGTCATCGACAAGAACAATGTCTACCGCAATAGATGACACGAGAAATCACACATACCCCTTGATTGATGTTCAAAGCTCGATCACCGCCACAGGTGACACGAGACATCACACCCCCTGCACCGATTTCCAAAGCTCGATTGCCGCCGTGGGTGACGCAATATACCACATTCCTTGCGCCCATCTTCCGAAACGCTCGTCTACTCCACGGGGAAGAGGAGGCGTAAGTGAAACAATGCGTTTTCGGAACGCTATCTCTCGACGAGACGGCTCCAACGCCACCGTTTTCGGCGCTGCCGCTCTTTCTGTTGTGGATTAAATCGAGCTTTGAAAACTGGTCCAGGGCGTGTGATGTATTCATGTCAGCCACGCCAGGATTTCTTATACATCATGTGCAACCTACGCATACGGTAGTTTACATATGCAGATGTGGATCCATAGCGCAAAAACGAACCGATGGGTTTTCGGAAAGATTTCGACGAGACGGCTCCAACGCCGCTGTTCTCGCCGCCGTCGCATGTGTTAGCTGCGGAGTAATCGACCGATCGCAGAAACAAAAAAAAATGTGAAAACGACACGAAAGAACGAAAAGTTAGATGCCTACCTGCCCGACTATCTCGTCCGGCCACGCGTCCTGCAGGAGGTTGTGCGACTCGAGCGAAACCTTGATGGCGATGTTGGCCCACGTCAAGGTGTCCCGGCCACACAGAGAGAGCTGCGGCAACGACGAGGAGGAAGAAGAGCAGCGACAAGATCACAGCGACAGCATAATGGTGAGACGAGCAGTTGAGAAACAGCACAACAGACACACTCACTCAAATCCCCCGAAAATCGACACAGCACGTTGGGTGAGAGCAGGAAGCACCTTGGGGATACAACAACAACAACAACAACAACAACAACATGTCCATTTCGCTGTCGTTTTCCGTGGAACATAAAGCCGTCGTTCTGTCAAAAGGCTTTCTCCGACGGCGAATCGAGCCATCTCCGAGGCTTCAGCCTAACGCCGCACACTTCCGTACACCACGACCACGCCCAGCACGAAAATCAAACAACTTCCCCCATTCGATTGTGGTGTTATTTCGAACGGGTATGCATAGCCTCTCTGTGATTTCATGCAAAAATTCTAAAAACTCCGTTCCCATTCTCCCTCCCTCGCCACCTCGACCCCCTCCCCCCCCCCCCCCCCCCCCCCCCCCCCCCCCCCCCCCCCCCCCCCCCCC